CAAAACAAACAAACAAACAAAGATATATAAAGTGCACAAATCTCTGTGTGTCTGTCTGTTTGTCCGTTATCTAACTACGTTTAGTTCGCTGGGCCTATCTCAACCAAACTTTGTGGGATGATAGTTTGGAACAACCCCATTATTGATGTTAATGAGCATTTATTATCTTTGTCGTAAGTAAACTACATTCATAAATGGCGACACATCCTTACACCAAATACTAAAGGAAAACTTTATTGAATTTTCTATAAAACAACCTACACTCAGTGTGAGAGGAAGGGCACACAAACGTCTTATATCTCTATGGAGGAATGCAATGAAAAAGAATGGCTGCTACTATCTGAATACTACATAAACTCAGCTGAAGTTTTTATTCCAACAACCACCATAAAGCTGATCTGAAGAGCCGTTTCTTGAGTTATACTCACTTCCCACTTTGAAACGTAACCTTTCAACTTTGGCCCATAACACACGTCTGCAGCCACTGACCGTCAATTAATTAATTACGCGATGCACTGTGGAATGACAATAAGAGCTCAGTGTTAAAAGAGGATAATCGAAAGCACCATTACCGCCACTATTTTTCCGTTACCTCTTCCTACAAAGTCACCTCACCATCACACAGTGTATACCATGTTTTAAGTATGTACATATCGCGTTGTTGAAGCTTATACAAAACTTTAGATGGTGCAATAATGAATACTGTAATGATATGTTATGTTATAAATATATTGTTTGAAAGTTAGGATTTCTGTGTTATATATCATAGCATCCACCACCACATATTTTTAAGTTCATACACCGGACAAAGGACGGGTACCTCAACTTGTTATTAAATATGTTCAAAATATTAGTTTGTATTAGAAACCAATAAGTTAATCAAAGTAATTAGAGCAAGATAAATACAACATGGTGATGCCTACAACGAAAAATTTAAAAACTACCAATCTATATTTCTGGAATAAACAAGTTCATTTTTCCCTAGACGATTAAAGTTGTTCACAATTTCCAACGTCACTTCCTGTTCGTTCTTTATCCTAATATTAATGAAAGTTGTTGAGGCTTACTACGATAATATCATTTTCTCTTATATCTGTTCTAAAACTTCTCGAGAGAGAGATTGTATTCCGTTACACTAATACCTGGATCTACATTAAAAGGGCCCGGCATGGTCAGGTGGTTATGGCGCTCGACTTGCAATCTGAGGGTCGCGGGTTCGAATCCCCGTCCTACCAAACATGCTCGCCCTTTCAGCCGTGGGGGCGTTATAATTTGACGGTCAATCCCACTATTCGTTGGTAAAAAGAGTAGCCCAAGAGTTGACGGTGGGTGGTGATGACTAGCTGCCTTCCCTCTAGTCTTACACTGCTAAATTAGGGACGGCTAGTGCAGATAGCCCTCGGGTAGCTTTGGGCGAAAATTCAAAACAAACAAACAAACAAGAGTAGTTTAAATCCCATTTCCTGTGACGAAATCAATGGCGAAACATTAAGTAAAGAGCGTCTCCTTGCTTTACGATTTGCAGAATCCTGCACTAATAAGCATTTTTGTAGTCATGTTCGCGTTTTTTTTTTTATTGTCAGTGAAGTGGGCTGTTTTGGGGCTTGGGGTGATATTGTTTTTGTGTTACTGGGGGGTACCGAGAGATCCAAGCACAAAGTGCTATCTATGATGTTAGTGTCTCAGGAAGGACAGGTTACAACTGTTGCTACGTCCTTATGTAGACCATGATTTAGCCGTCTCTTGTGCCAGTCAGAATTTCTATCTATGATGTTAGTGTCTCAGGAAGGACAGGTTACAACTGTTACTACGTCCTTATGTAGACCATGATTTAGCCGTCTCTTGTGCCAGTCAGAATTTCTATCTATGATGTTAGTGTCTCAGGAAGGACAGGTTACAACTGTTACTACGTCCTTATGTAGACCATGATTTAGCCGTCTCTTGTGCCAGTCAGAATTTCCCAGGGTAATGACAATAGGTCCGATGTTTTGCACTGATGTAATATATATAAAGTGTACACTTAGTAAAAATATATAAAAAATTTGGCATACCAGTTTAGTTTGCTATTCTAGAATGAAGGTTC